AAACCGACACATGTGATTCCGTATACAACCGCTCATGCAAGAAAAATTTCAACGCTCACCATTAACATTTGTTGTTAACTGGAATTATGCTGCTCCAACACGTAAAGAGTGTTGGGATGGAGAGTAAAGTTATTTTGTATAGCAAGACACGATGAGTTGTACGCCTAGATAACGGGATCGATTTTATTGTCAGCTGATACTTGCGTGCGAATTTTCGTGCGGCAGTGCCTCTCAGTGCTATCAACGTAATACTGCACGTTCGCTTTGAAATTGCCCTAACTACGCATGTGATGAATAATTTGAACAGCCTATCAGGGAACATTGCCGATGCACACACAGAGAGGAAAGTTTTAAAAGGCTGCTAGATCGTTATCGGATGTGTACGGCAGGACTCTGCTGCTCCTATTGGAGCGAGTGCGTCAACCCAGAAATGAATCGGAGGCGACGCATAGGAAAAGAGTCTCACTTCCTGCCCTCTACATCTCAATGAACCAACTTGGTGAACTGCAGGACTGCGCGGGCGATGTTTCCACCTGATATCAGCAGTCATACGCAAACTCTCAGGGTCAGAGAGGACCGATTCCTGAGTGTTTTCAACGTGTTATGAACATGTATGTGATTCGCTCAGTTATCTTGGGCGCCATGCAGTAAGGAAGGTGGATCTCAGTGGCGTAACAACTGTTTTTGATGCTCGGTGTGGTGGTGAAATTTTCACCCTGACTGAGGGCAGAACGGGCTCGCGAAGGACACACAATTGGCTCGGGGTTAAGTACACATTAGCTTTCGATGAAATGGAGGACGGTTTGGGATAATGCGATAAATGTGGTGAAACTGACCACAATGGGACAACCAAGGCAGTGCTGGAAAGAAAGTTTTCACAGCTGTAACACATGGCGCAAATGTGGTGTTGATCAGACAGAGTAACATTAAAGGCTTCCACCCCAAACTTGTTCGGATATTTTGTCCATTATCTTTGGTATCGGACAATTGGTGGTACTAAAAATGCAGTCCTCTGTCACCTGCCGTCCCCACATGCCTATGCTCCGCCGCTGCCTAGTCTCCTCAATTTTACTAATACCGTGTTGGCACAGTGTCCATGGAGAATTATGGCTCACCGCAACGCTTGGATATGGTGCGGACACGGAGGTGGTAAAATTTTCCCTTCGTGGTGAACCGGAGTGCTCAGTGGGGAAGTAGTGCAAGGAAATCGACTTTCCATGCGAAGGGAAAACAAAACCGTCGCGAGGCGACTGTGCGAAGCGAAAAAGCACTCACTCTATGTTCGTGGATGCGTTGAGTCAAGTCCGAAGCGCGGTGTGGAAGCGGATGAGTGGCAGACTCTTGCAGACGCAATGCGAGAAGGTTCAGCGATTGCCGCAGTTGATCCACAGTTCGACTGTCCATCTGTTCCGCTTCGCTGTTCGCATACCTTGCAGACGGTCCCGCTTTCGTAAGCGCAACTTCAAAAGAGTGCAACTGTGATTCGAACTGTTCGATCTCATTTACCGGTTGATTGGCCAGTCGCATTGCCAGGAGGTGCCGTAATCCGTCGGTAGCGAGGCGCTAGCAACAGAGAGGGAGATGGAAACGGGATAAAGGAGCAAGGCGGAGGGGAACGTTGTTGGTATTCACGCAAGCACGCACGCGTGCATGCACATACATACACACACACACACGCACGCACGCACACATTTCGATGGGACACCGATTGACCCACCTGCGTAGCTTCTAACCCGTCTTTCGACAAGGCGGAATGGCCAGCCGAGCTCAGCCTCGACTGGCAACTCATCAAAGACGCAGCCAGGAGTTGACTTTCAAGACGCAAGTTGACGAGGAATAGATTCGACTTCATGTCGGTTAACAGCGATCCAACTTGCCTAATGCGTCCAGTGATATGTTCGCATGCCCAGGAGGGGATGAAACAGACGCTGGGGATGTTCATGCATGATCCGCTTGGAGTGCGAAGCTGTGGAGATAAAATGGTGATAAAATCAAGACCAGAAAACCGGCAACAAAATTAACAAGTAACAATGCTTTACTCCCATGAAGAGATGAATCATGGGAACGAATGAAATGTAGTGTAGAACCTAGGCTTATGAGGATAACATCACAGGTCCACGCAGCTACACATTGCCATTAATGCACATATACGAGACAGCTATCTGGTGAATCACACTGTCCCACATCAAAGTCACCCATGTCACCAGTGTCACATACACGCTTCAGACAGACGACAGCAAACATGCAAACGATGTTAGCCGTAAGCTATGCCCGGTAGCGTCCGAGTGAAATGTAGTGGCTCTCGCGGATCCCATCCACAAAGGGGAGACGAAGCAAGAGTACCCAGTCCAGCGGCCGACCGCTTCACTTTCCGCGGTCAGATCATCGGTCGCCCTCGTTCAAATCTCACACCCTCCTTGGGGTTCATTATGGGAACACTGATGTAGCACAACAGAGATGTTACGTAAGAAATCATAGTCAAAGGCCTGCATGCGCTGGAGAGCTCCAAATGGTATTGCTCGGCGACCTTGACTGTGGACTTGCACACAAGGTTGTTGAGATCAGGGAAAATGCCCCTTCTAGTGTAAATAGCGTTGCAGAACATAGAGAAAGTATGAGAGCTACGTGTCGGTTACTGGCTGAGCTAGTCCCCAGTTCCTCGTCACCAAGAGTCCGGGGGCGAGAATGCGGATAGCGGTTTTGTAACAATATGTTGTACAATGTACGCTCGAAGCACGCGCCAATGAATGAAGCCACTAAGGGGTTTGTTTGAGAAGGATTGCGTCGTGCGATTGTAAAGCATATCACCCGTATAATCTAACGGAATGAGTTTTCCGAGACCTTTGCAGAGAACAACCCAGAATACAGTCTAAAGTTGAGTTGAATAGAAATGGACAAAGGAGAGAAAAATAGGTGGTGCTATATCGCAGTTGGTTTGCAAATTATGTAGTCCAGCTAACCTCCCGCATGGCACAGTGGCTTAAGCTGCTGGCTAGTTGACGTCAGTCTCTAGCGATCCTGGATTCGATCCCCAGTAGGTGACAGAGGGGGGATGCAGACAACTGACGAGCCTCAATAGGGCTTTTTCGGACTAGGCTGGGTTATGTAGCTTATTAACTACCGGGAAGAATACGTCAACCAAAGGAGAGAAAAGCAAGACCGTTAGGGGGCTTATTTTGGCAGCAGCTTCACTACTCATGGGCGGACGGATGTTAGTAGGATTTACTTATTTCGTCACAATTGGAGTACAAGCCAGACAAGCCAACTGCCAATCCGGAAAGGTACGATACGGCTGTTTGGTCTATTTCGGTTTCATTAGTGTTGCTCATTCCCTCGGTCCCCTTCAGGAAATCGAACCCGTGACCCGCTTCGGGCTATATCACAGTTACATTTCAATCCAAAGTGATCACCTGTCGTATTAGAAGCTGCTGGATAATAGTCATAAGCTTGGTCCGTGGCCTTAATGCTCACAAGCCTGCCTTGTGATCATGAGGTCGCGGGTTCGAGTCTGCGTAGGTGACCGGGAGACCCTCGCAAGATCTTTAGCCCCCGCGCGACTAGTGGTGCTTGCGCGGCAGCGAAGCGTCGGTATTGCGTACCGGCGTACTGCCGATGCCTAAAAGGGACCAAAGGAATGCACAGCACTGACGAGCCCTCAGAGGTCGAAACGGCCGTGTGATGCTTCTCTATATTCGTAGTTCGCCTGTCTAGCTTGTAATCTAATTCGGATAAACGAAATAAAACAGTAGCATAACTTTCATCCACCGACAGGACTGAGTAGTCGGTTGCGCCACCTGGTTCACAACTTCAGCTCGCTTTAGTCCCAAAGTCCACACGCGTTCGTATACAAAATGGAAATGTAACCATGACAACACATGAATAAATCGAACGTGGTGCATGTTTCCATAGAGATGCTGATAGATCGGAAAATTTGGTACGCGAAAAACGGCCGAATGTACAGGGAATCGATCAGTGAATCCAACTGGTAAAACAGGCAAATACAAGCGATGAATGTTTTGAAGAGATTCAACAGAGAATAAAAGGAAAGCGAGAACAACCAAGAAAAATAGCTGCTGCAGGTTTAGGGACAACTCAATGATTCAAAGTCACGAAACCAAGGTGGTTGAAGGACAGATGAACAAGTTAAAGTCTGCAAAATTAACCCATGACTAGCCGAGTATGATGACGATGGATCATGGAAATAAAACGAAGCCTACTCAGTTATGGTGGACAGAAAGCCAATCAAGAATAGTCCACAACTATCAATAAGCCAAGCAACCGATTGAGCAGTTCGAAGTTGATTCACTGTGGTGCGGAAGAGGCGCTGCGACACGGATGCATTAGATCAGGTGGTGATGGTGGTGGATAGAAAGCAAGCATGAACTGGCAGACAGGTGAAACACGAACTAATGAAAGCGGACAACCATGACACAGTGGTACGAGTTTATGCGCAATGCAACGCGGCACGAAGACCACACGGGAGTTTTCAGAATAGTAGCCCGGTATATCTTCAGGAGCGAAAAATCCGGACGAGGCTTTTTGTACGCTCTGCAAGGTGGGGGCAAATAAAGCTTACAACCGGTGTAAGGTTCGCAGACGGCATGGTGCGTCTGCGCACTTCCGCCACATACTCTTCCTGTAAGTGCTTACAACAAGTTAGACCACGATGGCTGAGTAAGGTGCATCGGCCGCAGCCACGTTCTATGATACTACAGCGCGTGCATTCGACCGAGTGAGTGCTCACAGTGTTCTGAGTCGTCATGATCAACAATGCCGTCGCCGCTGGATGAACTTTAAGATGAGCGACAATGAACGTAACGGTCCCAAGCTGTTGGAAACAAACAAGTGTTGATCCTTAAAAAGACCAAGCAATAAACCTCTATCCGTTGTAGCAAGTGTTTCTGTGGGGATCGGTAGGCAACATGTTTCCTCAGCGAAAATCCCCGATGTCATGGAATTGAGTCGTAGTTCGATTACCGCTGCCGGTCGTGCAGTGCAGCATCGTTGGGAGTGCGCACCACCGAACATTTCCTTTTCAGATTCAGCCCCAGTGATGGGAATGATCGGGTTTGGTCTCAACGAACTCGGAGTCCGAGTTGAGGTTGCATGTCACAACTATCACCAACCCACCCACCCACACACACGCGCACGGTTGGTAGCGTCCGATTCTGGAGGTGCTCGTCATTGCGGCTTCCACAGGACAGCCACGTGACACCTGCGCCTACAAAGGGAGCACGAATGGCTTCCGCTGTACCACCCAGAGCTCCATCCACACACCCCATGTCCAGTGCAAACCCAAAGGAATAAGACCGGGAGGCATGCGGATGGGAACCACGTTTCATCAACGGAGCCGGCCCACACTCCTTCACAGGCAAACACAAGCACGTTGTATTTGGGGAATCAAGCGCACACAAGGCGGTGGCTGGACCGTAGTCCGCTCCACACTGAGTACATGGAACCACTCTTTGATCCTAACACGGCCACAAGGACCGTGCACCCCGTCCCCTCCAGCAACGACCAACTGTCTCCTGGAGCCAGTATGGACGAGGTAGTGGGTAACAAACAGGTAGGCACCTTGTCAACATGCACATCAAGGGCAGCCACACCGGGGATATCAAAAAACCAACATAGTATTTGAGGGAAAGCAAACAGGCAAAATTGACATCGAATATGAAACAGATTAACAAAACTAAGCAGAGCGAATAATATGCAATAGTTTCTATCCGGATTAGAAATACCTAGTTTGAATGTAAGTGTTACGGAGAGCCACCGTACAAACCGAGAAGCGTGGCGCAACATTGGATCGATTTACAATCGGAGATCGAAGACGAGTAAAGATCAAAATGCGAATCTATGTGGAATTAACAGCAAGTTAGATCATGAAGTTGAAACGTTTGTTGTGTTAGTTAAGATCAATTAGCATCTCCAATTTGGCTTTGTTTGTAGTTGCCTGCAACCTATTTATTGCGCCATGTTCTCATACCATACGAATCAGAATCCGAATCCGAAGCTCTCGGTCCGGCTGGTCTTGGCGTTCTCATTTCGTGGCGGGTTGAACTGGTTGGGGGTGGCATAGCGGATTCAAGCAGGTTATCCGTAAAGTCAGCGGAAACCACAACACATTTCTGGCGATGGTCAGGTGCACGCTAGGAGCAGGTTAGCTGTACATTCAGCGGCAACCACAAGAGTAAGTCGATGTAACCTAACTGCGGTGAAGAATCAACCTTAGCGTGAGGAACACACACACACACCAACATACACAAGAGGTAATCCACATCTCTAACAATCTCTGGCTGTTGTGATAAGCGTTACTAGCGGTTCTCAGTGATAAAATAGTGAAGTAGCAAGCCAACAACGACAGTGCATAGGATTCAAGTTCAAGTACCGACCAGTTTTGGGGGCGTAAGCCGCTGTCTAGTAGCATAAGCCACTGGTGTCCAGAAGTAATAGTTTCGGTTTGTGGCGGATGCGGACTAAAGGTTAGTTGCCATGTATGGTAACGGCCGTCTGGTACTTTTCGGATGCAAGTGGACGATCTTGCTTAGAAGTAACCCACTGTGCTGAGCCATCAATAAGAGTGCATCGAGAAATTCCCTACTTAAGAATAAGCCAAGGAAAGCAAGAAATGTTTGTGGCTTGTAACGATGTGGGAGTGATATCCCAAAATTCACAAGCTACACTGATTGAGGATAGAAGTGAGAAGTTTTAGACGATCGGTAGTAGTCGTGCTACGGATGTATGCAAAGCTTAAACTGCAAACCGAAACTAAGCAACCGGTCAAGATCGCAATTGTAAGCATGGTTGACGGCATCCGGTTTCGGATTTGCCTGTCACTGTGGCCAGCCACAGGACGCCTGCGCCTACAGAGGGACCATGGGTGGCTTGCGCTGCACCACCCACACATCCATCCACAAACCCCATATCCAGTGTAAACCCAAAGGAATAAGACCGGGAGGCATGTAGATGGGAGCCACGTTGCATCAACGGCGTCGGCCCACACTCCTTCACAGGCAAACACAAGCACGTTGTATTTGGGGAATCAAGCGCACAACGCGGTGGCTGGACCGTAGTCCGCTCCACACTGAGTGCATGAAACCACTCTTTGAGCCTAGCACAGCCACAAGAACCGTGCACCCCGTCCCCCCAACAACGACCAACTGTCTCCTGGAGCCAGTGTGAACGAGGTATTGGGTAATAGACAGGTAGGCACCTTGTCAACATGCACGTCAAGCGCATCCACACCGGGGATATCAAGCAACAGCCAATCACTTTAAACGACAAGCTGAAATAAAATAAATACAATAATGCATACAGATACGGTGGCATAACTCTTCGCTAAATTACCATATGAAGTAAGTTGGTTAGGAACGAATCCGCGATAAGGAAAACGAATGTCCACAAGTTACTCAAAAATGCTACAAACGCAACAAAATTACCGAAGATAAGCGCAATTAGTGTAAGCAACGTGGCCAGTTAATAGAACATTATTCAGGTAGGCAGAACAAACCAAGTAAAGTGGAAGGAAATTTAGCCAGCTTAAAAAGACCTAGTTTAAGTGTAAGTTGGTTTAGCCCAACTGCGGTGAAGAAGCATCAAGAATGCAACATCAGCCTCAGCATGGGGCACAATTGTAAGCATACAAACGAAGTAAAAGGATGCATAGAATAAGGCCAACAAGCCCAAGGAGGTTGGCGGAAGTGAAATCAACGAGCTACGTACGAATCAGCAATGGGGCACTTACGCTCCAGATCTTGGGGTTCAAATGGGAGATCAAAACCAATGAGTCGCCTTTATCAAATCCACCGGGCTCGTCACCAGTGGGCCAAAATACCTCGCCAACTGCGGATACCAGAGTGGAGTGCGAACCAGGTTGACCTGTCCAGTAATCTGCGGAGCGGAAGCAGCAGAGAGCCCGAACCGGAAGTCCAAGGTGATCGGGATCTCCGTTCACACTCAAAGGAACCATTTCGGAGGCCTCATCCTTCAATTTGACGATGTGAGGCTCCCGGTCGTTGACTTGATCAAGGATGCACTAAAGGAATGGAAGATGGATGGACCAAAATAGAAGCGAAGCTGCACGCATAAAGATTGGATTCCTCGTCACACAACACGTCATCAAATCTCACCTTTAGCCGGCTCTTCAACTTTTCCGCTTCCTTCAGCGTCACGGGGTGATGAGGAGAACCAAACTCAGAACGCAGTATGCCCAACTGTGTTCTCAAAAAGGTCTCACATTCAGCGGCATCGCGTAACAGCACGTCTCTTCTGATAAGCTGGTTGGTACGGTATCCGGAACAGTCAATCAGTTGGAACAACCAACTCCAATGACGCTCCAATGCGGTCAAGTAGGACTGCGAAGGGGGGATAGCGTTAGTATATACTGTGCAAGTTACAACGGAAACACGTGAGAGCAACGTGCCAATACAATAGTACTACTACTGATCCGCCGTGAGTAGGTTTTCATGCTAGTTCGTTAAGTGTCCAAGCATGATCAGTGCACTGCAGTGCAACGGGTCAAATCTTAGTCAGGTGCATCCGCAAAATGACAAACGAAGTAATACTGATGTAAGAAGAACAAAAAAAATAAACCTCGGTTGCGACAGTGAAGCGTTGGAAATAAGGGAAAACACACAAGAACACCACTAAGGTCGTACTTGCGACATACCCGAAGGGGCACTCAATGACGGATGTCGCAGATTCAAAGACTTCCGTACAACAGGAACATGCGCAAACGATACGTAGCTTTTTGGTAGGTTTCTTCACGCTTCTCAGCCACATCATTCACGAGCCACAAGCCGCGGAACAGGAATTTGAAACAAATGCCATTGGTTGTCGTTCCCCACACTGTCTCAAAGGTGTACGCAATCACGCTGTTGACTACTGACAATATTCTTGGCTCAGAATGCGAACATGAGAATGCTGGAATGTTTGTTAAGCTGGGGGGTTTGATTGTGCAAGTTACGTGACCAGACTAAGTGATGTTATCACAGTTGGAAGTTGCACTGATGACCAGGTCCGGTTCAGTAACGAAACAGACACCGTAAGCCAGCCAACTCAAATAACACACACACACACACACCCGACATCCCCATATGGAACGGATAGTCATCTAGTTAGAATAAGCTCGATATTGTGCGACGAATATCTTAGGGCTTGAGTGCTTACAACCCCGTTGAAAGTAAAGGTTAGAACAGTTTGTCGGCGGCGGGGAGACCATCGCGAAGAGGGGAGTTTAAGAGGGAACTTTTCGCTTTCAGAGAAAACGCGAGTGTTTACTTATGTTTACCAAAACATCGCAGCGTTCCAGATAGTCAGACAATGGTCAGACATGTCTTACCTGTACAAGATTAGCCGCTGGATGATTGTCCAGTTGCATAGTGGAGCCAAGCACACAAAGATCGTTGTGATGAGCCTCACGTTGCTTCAGTTCTTCCACGGCTTCCTGACGGCAGACGGATGTAAATAAAGAGGATGCGGGGAGTAAAATACACAAATGGAAAAATGTAAGTGAATAAGTTCCAAGGTCGTCCTGAAAGAAACCATAGTAGATGGGATAAAGGGAGGTTGTAGTTAAGCCCGAAGGCGAGGAACAGTCTAGAAAGTAGTTATATCGACTATAAGAAACGCAGAGCCTGAGATGAGGTGGATCGAATTCATTGGGGTTGCAGGACGACAGGTGCGCATTCCCTGGGTAAGGAGGATGTACGTAACTCATGTGCTTGTATTTAGAATGCATTGTGACCACAGGTTAGTAGTATCCGGTGTGGATGCAGTTCCTGTAATTAACGCACGCACTATCCATCGAGCAGGGTCAGATGATGAGCACACTTGAATACTACTGTCACCATCCTCCGCTCAGCACCGTTATTTCACGCACCAGGCTCCGATGGCTCGGTCATGTGTTACGCATGCCAGTACACCGACTCCCGCAACATGCGTGGTTGGTGTGCCGGGGATGTGGATGGAAGAAGAAGAGAGGTGGCCAAGAGATGACTTGGTCAAGAGGAATGAAGACCCTTACTTCGAAGCTGGCCTCGGTTGGAGGGTCTCAGCTTTCTGGTTGGGGTCCGAAAGATGATGAACACGGTTGGCTGGATACACTTGCTGGCATGGCTAGGAGCCGACCTCAGTGGCGTTCGTGCTGTCCCACCCCATCCCTCTTAGCTTCCCCTCCAACCATGATCTTACTATTTAGCCTTATATAATTTTGCATAGTAAGGTTTTTGCTACATAGTAGCCGGCTGGTAGCTTACCAGATCGATGCCCATCCGTTACCGGTAGCTCAGCTGGCTTGCACCCGTTGCATTTTTCCTTTTTTTGCTTTTGTGAATTGCGGTGTTTCCCACCTCTCTAAGGTGTATAATGATGATGACGATGTCAACATTCTCCACCCGGGGTAATTACTGACAACCCAAGCTTTATACTATGGGGACAAATGGGTTTATTGCGAAAGCTAATGCGACACACACAAGTCCTATGTATGTACAAGTACGCACGCACACATACATGCATGCATGGACGCACGCACGCACGTACGCACGCACGTACGCACGCACGCACTTACACCTACTCTTTCTTGTTAGATGTACTCAAGTGGGGGATTTTTAATGCAATTAATTGAGATATGTTCGTCGCAGCTTTCAAATCAGATAATCGTCCACATGACCGGAAAGGCAGTATATGACCATTTCTGTCTGCTGTCTGGTAACTAGTGCGTGTTCATTGAATCGGAACCCAGTGCTGAGTACGCGGAGTGGTGCAAACAAGTTGAATACAAGAGAACCAATTTGAACATGAGAACGTAGGCCCAATTTGCGCACTTTTCTCGTTGGACCTTTCCAACTCGTAGTTCTGCTGCGACTCATCACTCACAACGTATCGGTGGCAGTGGATTTCTTCACTACGTATCTTTCGTACGGGGACGCACGATTTCCTCGATGTCCCTGCACAGCGTTTCCATACATACTGCCACCATGATCGGTAGATGCTTGAACCACCACCATTCAGCAGCTTATGTCACTGAACCATGAGAGAATGAAGCATACCGTCATGTCTACAACCTAATCGTGGTATGGTGCGTCTCACCCTGCAGTGCGATGCGATTCACGAACGTTGCAGAGGACAAAGTTGGCCCCGAAATACACAACTCCAACTGACAGCAGCTCTATGTATGACATAGCATCTAGAAACTGTTAGGTCGATTACTTCCTTGTTACGTGTCATGTTAATCGCGAGTACACTATGCCTTGTATGCACTTTTTCATCATTACGCACTGGCTACGTGGCAAAATACATACTACTGCTAGGACCACTTCTCAACAGTTGTGAGCCGTTTTACCGTCGTTACCATCCGCTAGACATAGCCGCGATCGTGTTGCGCTCTACTTGTGGTGCACTACTAACGACTAGTATGGGTTAAACAAGCAGGCGGGGTGAACTCAGCGAATAATGGATGACCGCGGACGACGGGCGCGTGGATTACGCTGGAATTTCTGGCCTATACCACACCATCACGGCAACCTGAGTCGAGAGTACGCAGCGGAGTGTAGTATCAAATGGCTTTAAGAAGGAACGGCGCAAATGAGTCCGACTCTTCTATGTTCGAAATGTTAGACCATGTGTGTGTACGTTATCTAGTACACACAAGTCGTTCCGTTTTCTCAACATACTGTCCCTGGCGCCACCGGGACGTGTAGCAACTACAGACGATAAGGCATGTCACACGGTGATACCTCCTAGGGTGGGAACCGGCCATAGCTACGCGTGTGCATAGAACATTATGGAAAGCGCGCACACACTCAATGCGATCTAAGGGGCGTGGCGCGGGGATTGATGTCGCGGATCTCGTACTCCGAAGACGTACTCGGGTCAAATTGATCTTATCGCAGTCGATATTAATTCGCTTGCTTGTCCGTATTGATCTGTTACTCGTGGATTGTTCTCCCAGCTTGCTTCGAGTGATTGTTGATTTATTTCTGTTCACACGTATCGGTAAGATATTGTGGCCCGTTGTCTATGTCGTTGCCGTGGCGATAAGGTTGACTCTATGCTTCGCATAGCTACCCCACTTATTTGACTCTACTGAGTCTTGCCATCTGGAAATCAGAGATATAGCAGAATGGTGGATGGCTAGGGGGTTAGAAAAACCTCATCTCCTGGTCGTCCAGTTTTGGGGCTGGAGATGTGGTGTCGGCTCTAGTTCAAAAAGGAGACACATTGAGAACAGACTATAAAGCTGGTACCTTCATTCATTCTCGCTCACTGCAATTACATCCTGTCTGATCCCCAGTATCAATTTGTGTCGGTGGAGATGGCAGCCCCGGAAGCTTGACAAGTTTTATATTATCCGATCCTTCGTGGTCTGTTTACCATAATCATACCTCGCGTTGTCAAGAATAGGCCATTTATTGATTTATAGTAGCTGATAATCTTCAACCGGAAAAATACATTATCATGCCAAGTTGTTCGAGATGCTTGGATAGAGTCAATAAAATTGGAATTGCACACACACACACACACACACACACACACCTAGGACAACGGAGGTGTTATGCGTATCAGGTAGATATCGAACTAATTGCGACTGAATTATCAAGTAGCCATTGGATCTACAAGGGCGGAATCGCTGATGAAACAACTATCACTCAAACAAGTGGGCATCGTTCTTCGACCTCAGATTGATGGCTTGATCAAGAGATGCCTGTTCCACAGGTGTACGTTACGCACAGATTTCCCTCAACCGTATTCTGATCACTTGGTAACGAGAGTAACCCATAATTTGTGAACACACAACAACAAAGCACAAATCCAAAAGACTGCTATGTTGTTGTTCTGGTTGTGATCGACGACAAGGGCGACGATCACGATCATGCTGATTCCGGTTCAGGACAACTGATTAGGTATCAGCAGTGCGCCGATGCTTCGCTGCCGCGTGACCACCACCAGTCGCGTGAAGGTTGTGTACACCGCAAGGTCACCGGCATCCATGCGAATTTGAACCGGCGACCTCAGGATAACAACGCAAGTGCGCAATCCTTTCGGCCACCGACTGACAAGGGCGACAGGCGAACTTTTGGCTTCATGTTTTACCCCAGTCGAGATACAGAAGTCCAAATAGAGTCAAAGTATTCCAACAGAAGGGGAAGTTGGTGTACACAATTCCGCACAACTGTTCATGCAAAAATGTGGAACAGGCGAAATGAGTTCCAACTGGACCTCCATGAGCTTGAGGCTTGGTGCAACACATGGAAAATGTCTTTCAACACTGACAAATGTAGCGCGATGTTATACAGGTGCAATGTTAAGCACAATGCTCTGACTCTAGATAGCAAACCACTTACTATCTGTCAGACCATCTGTGACCTAGGGCTTCGCTACTCATATTCCCTTAACTTCTCAGAACAAGCATTTTATGCAACAGCCAGAGCTAAACAACGCATTGCATTGCTATTCAAAAATCTTACTCTACGAGATTCAATTTGTTCAATGTATGAATCATTCGCCCGCCCTTTACTTGAATATTGCTCAATGGTGTATAGCAACTCCAGGAAGCATGATCGTATCGCCATAGAAAAGGTACAAAGAGCGTTTACAAAGCGCCTTATTGGTACGAGTTTAGTGTTACCCTATTCTGAGCGATGCGACCTACTTAAACTTGACCCAATATGGCTTCGACGCCTAAAAGTAAACTTAGCACTTTTTTCAATATCCTGCACAAAAATGTCCACACCCCTAGCATTGATCTATCACTCATGAAACCAAATGGATACAATACACGCAATAGAGAAAATTCTGTGATGGTAAGAAGGTCAAAGACAAACATATCAGCATACTTTTTCCTAAATCGGTACTCCCGTATTTGGAACAAATTGCCGACCGATATTCGTACTAGCATATCTGAGTATAACTTTCGTAGAAAGCTTGACGAATATCTTACAGTCAGCAATGTGATTATGCTCCTGCGCTGCCCTACAACTATTCAACAAACGTATGAACAAGGTCCAGACAACATATAACTGAAAGTTGCAAATGACTGTATCAGTCAGATCAACAAACACCCGTTGATTCCCTGCTTACCCTTCTCTTTTATTGCCCACTCCGGATCTGCCCGCCCGAAAGCTCACCGCTGATTAGTGGCTCCACTGATACATCGATGGGTTGGAGGTCCAGGCTTCTGTTATCCTCTTCATCCCATCTTGGCTCACTATACTTCCCCTTGATTTTACTTGGCTCCACTGCAACCATGTGTCAGTTGAACCACTGGCAACTTGGTTAGCTGGACTCCCAAATCCGGTTAACTATCTCTCCAATCGTAACTTCACTTCCGTTTCACCCGCTGGCTCACCTACCATTCGTTTGTGAAAGCACTGACGCTTTGGTAAGTAAAGCACCCGGATCCTTTCTTTACATCTTCAACCCACCTTGCTCTCCAACACTTAGCTT